TAATAACAGAAGGATGATGTAACAACGTGAATAGGTTCACTAATAACAGAAAGATGATGTTCCAACGTGAATAGGTTCACTAATAACAGAAAGATGATGTTACAACGTGAATAGGTTCACTAATAACAGAAGGATGATGTACCAACGTGAATAGGTTCACTAATAACAGAAGGATGATGTACCAACGTGAATAGGTTCACTTATAACAGAAAGATGATGTTACAACGTGAATAGGTTTACTAATAACAGAAGGATGATGTACCAACGTGAATAGGTTCACTAATAACAGAAGGATGATGTTACAACGTGAATAGGTTCACTAATAACAGAAGGATGATGTAACAACGTGAATAGGTTCACTAATAACAGAAGGATGATGTAACAACGTGAATAGGTTCACTTATAACAGAAGGATGATGTAACAACGTGAATAGGTTCACTTATAACAGAAGGATGATGTAACAACGTGAATAGGTTCACTTATAACAGAAGGATGATGTAACAACGTGAATAGGTTCACTTATAACAGAAGGATCATGTTACAACGTGAATAGGTTCACTTATAACAGAAGGATGATGTAACAACGTGAATAGGTTCACTTATAACAGAAGGATGATGTAACAACGTGAATAGGTTCACTTATAACAGAAGGATCATGTTACAACGTGAATAGGTTCACTTATAACAGAAGGATGATGTAACAACGTGATGAAAAGAGAACACACGGTGAGGAAGTCAGTTAAGCCGGATACTAGGTGGTATGATTAGTAAAACTTTTGCAGTATAATAAAGATGTTATTCATAAACACAATTTGTCATTCGTCAACTTCTTAGAATTGGGATTTGAAGTCCGACCAGCAGATCCTGACGCAGCTAATGGAGGTAAGACGAAGAACACTCGGTGCCCATGTCGTTAGAGGATTCCTACCAAATAGCAGCTGGCACATAAAACACAATAGGGTCGATAAGAAACATACTTACCTGCCCTTGATTCGCATTCCAGCGCATATATAGTGGTAGATCTCTCAAATCTTTAATCAGTAGCATTTGTAAAACCATGGAACGAATGCTGAATATAGATTAGTTTGGTTATTCGAAACCAATACTGTTATTACCAACATGCAATGTGGTTTCCGGAAAAATAGAAGTACTATTAATCATTTAGTACAGTTAGAATCCTTTGCTAAAAATGCTGTAGTAAATAAACATCATATGTCAATTTCTTTTATCTTGAGGAAGCATCTGCCATTTCTGCTGCTAATATTAAATTTCTAGATAAAGCTCCCACCCAACTTCAGTCATCGCCTCCTTGGCAAATTGTATAGCCAGAGGTAGACCTGACATTAACTAAACTTAAGAAATCAGTAACAAACCAACTATTTTACATGAATACAATCATTTAAGAAACACATATGGCAAATCTATATTTACAGATGGATCCAAGGATGGTGGCACAATTGCTTTTGCAACTGTCATTGGATCCAGAACAATATCTTCAAGATTACCAGATCACAGCTCCATTTTCACAGCAGAAGCAGATGCCATTTTAACAGCTCTAAACTTTATCAATAATAAATCTAAACATAAACAACTCATAATATTTTCAGATTCTCTTTCGTGTCTTCAGGGTATTAAAATATGTCATGTAAGCATCCTCTTTTACTTGAAATTGTTGAAATATTCAATGATACTGGCCAATATGGTATCGTCTATTTTTGGTTACCAAGCCATTTTGGAATTATTGGTAACATAATGGCCGATGCTGCTGCAAAAGCAGCTCTCGTAAAATCTGTGACACCACTTCTGGTCCCATACAGTGATTATAAACCTGTAATAAAATATTACATGAATGATCTCACCCAAAATGCATGTCCACTCAAGTCCTATACAAAACATATGCCTTGCAGTGTAGGAACACAGAAGATGTGTATTGAAATATCGGGAAGTCTCATTTTTTAACTGTGACTTGTCCAAGACTGCTGAAGCCAGTGTGTGTCCCAATGTTTGTAAAATGACCCAAAGGCGCACGCCTTCAATAGCCTCTGACATTCCAGTCGAGGTTCTGGCCTTTACATGGTGAAATTGTTCTCACTGACTGACTTCTGGCGGCTCAAACAAGACGCTTCCTGCAGAGGAGGCTCGTCCGCTTGTCTGGCTGCTCCTTAGGAGCAGGAAAACTCTCATTCCAAACCCCTTTCAAGAACGGATGCAATGCAACTTCATTGCAAGAGTAGCCCTTCTGTCTGGGACAATACGAAATTTGCAAAATTGGAAATTGGACAAAGGCGTCTCCAGTTGTGCATACACCATGACCTGTGCATCACTAGTCCCTCTTCCTGTCCGAGCCTCGGCATAAGGAGAAAGCAGCTGGACGTGATCATCACAAGGCGGTGCCACCTCAGGAACGTGTTTATCACACGTTCTTAACACAGTGTCGCCTGCGTGACGCATTCCTTGGGCTGCTGCAGGATCGGACTCGAGACACAGATGCACCACACTACGCCAGAGGGAAAGAATTATATCGATGTCAACAAGACATCACACCTGCAGGGAGTTTACTCGTTTGCTGGTGCCCTTGACGATGCATCTGGTTACAAAACCTCCACAGGAATCAGCCAAGCAAACATGGGACCATCTGAGAGACACCATCCACGCCACTACACCCTTAGCGTCAAAGTCAGCGGAAAACTCAAAACTGGCATGAAGCCCACTCCTGCGACTCACTGGAACTTGAGAAATGCGCGCAGTGCTAACAGAATAAAAACGCTGCTCCAACCAAAATACTCTGCAACAGCCAGAAGCAAAGTACAGAAAACATCAATAAGATGAGCGAACAAAGACTTGTGGCAGATCTGAGAGTGGGATGTTGACTGATGCTGGGAGCATCCAAGAAAACATTATATCTGACTCTGTCCTGAAAGCCATTGACTGATGGAAGAGTTGAACGAGAAAACGTTTTGTGAATGAGATGAGCAAGGCTATCAAGAGACTTGCCTTGCCGTAAATGAAGACCATAAAGGGCAGGGGCTTTCTTCAAAGCCAACTGCAAAAACACTGTGTCAGTGCCTGGACGAGAGAGAGCTGCCTGCACAATCGTCACCTTGTACAAGGACAAAGATGAAAAAGCTATTGTAACAACTGCCATGAACATCGTCGGACAGCTCTTCGCTCTTTTGCCTCACAAAAGCAGTCGACCAGTCATTCCACATTGACATGAAAGGCACCAGTCCTGTGGAGTATTGGAGTAAAACAGGGTTGCGTACAACCGCCGGAGTCTACCTCCATAAAATACCTGGCGGGAACCTGTCCAATCTGGCTTGCCTTATGGCAAAAAACAAATTGTGTGAAGCTGCCATCAGAGTCTTTTGCTTTTCGCAGATGACGCAGCACTGGCAACTCTCTAAAGGAACTAGCTGTGAAACCTCATGGAGCACTTCTCAAGTGCATGCCAGGACCGTCAGCCTGAAGAGTGAGTGAGTGAGTGAGTGAGTAGCAATATTCCAGCAATATCACGGCGGGGAACACCACAAATGGGCTTCACACATTATACCCATATCGGGAATCGAACCCGGGTCTTCGGCGTGACGAGCGAACGCTTTAACCACTAGGCTACCCGACCTCCCCGTCAGCCTGAAGAAAACGAATGTGATGGGGCAGGGCGTCAAGCAGCCCCCAACTAAGAAGTGAAGGTTGGTTTACATTTCTCGGCTCCACCATCACAGATTACATACCTCGGCGCCACCATCACATATTACATACCTCGGCTCCACCATCACAGATTACATACCTCGGCTCCACCATCACAGATTACATACCTCGGCTCCACCATCACAGATTACATACCTCGGCGCCACCATCACAGATTACATACCTCGGCTCCACCATCACAGATTACATACCTCGGCGCCACCATCACATATTACATACCTCGGCTCCACCATCACATATTACATACCTCGGCTCCACCATCACAGATTACATACCTCGGCTCCACCATCACAGATTACATACCTCGGCTCCACCATCACAGATTACATACCTCGGCTCCACCATCACAGATTACATACCTCGGCTCCAACATCACAGATTACATACCTCGGCTCCACCATCACAGATTACATACCTCGGCTCCAACATCACAGATTACATACCTCGGCTCCAACATCACAGATTACATTTCAGCCTAGTTCGGCAAGGGTGGAAACTGGACTGGAAAGTCAGTTAACTCTCTTGCCTCGGGAAGATAGCTTATCGCGATTAACGACAACCGATAACTCTCAACACAGTGACGTCATACCGGAAGTAGTCTTTCGGCTCTGGGATACGGTCGGTGGAAAGTTGAGAATTACATTCCCCCAGTGACAGAAGTTATTTAACACAGTGTCACGAAGATATACAAATATACAATGCATTGGGGTATCCTGAATGCCTTATGTGTAGCCCTACAAGGCGTATTTAATCCATTATGCTACATAATAGTGCATAGAACATAGTCACGAATATAGGTATCGTCACACGAACTATCACGTTGCCAAATCGAAACAGGTGATTTGGAACGTATTTACCTTTTGTTTTTGCACATTAAACAAAGTCAGTAAGATCAGTGGTGATATACGTTAACTTATATAGCAATAACATGTACGTGCACGGTTGCATGTTGTACTGCAGACTTGTACAATATGATGAATCCCACAAACACTGTCTTACTGAGCGAAATATGCAAAAGACCTGTACATTACTCTTTCACTAACGGGGGCGGTCGGGTAGCCTAGTGGTTAAAGCGTTCGCTCGTCACGCCGAAGACCCGGGTTCGATTCCCGACATGGGTACAATGTGTGAACCCCATTTCTGGTGTCCCCCGCCGTGATATTGCTGGAATATTGCTAAAAGCGGCGTAAAACCATACTCACTCACTCACTCTTCAATAACGTTTGTCATTTATATATTTTCAAATAGACACATTAGGTCAGTACTGTAGCTTATCAGAAGGAAAACAATAAAAGTTTATATGTATTTTATTTAAGGCTACAAATATTTTATCTCAAATGTAGTAAAACATGATAGGTATATATTTAGTAATGTAATATTTATCCTGCGTCAATGGTGTGCGTCATTTCACATTGCCGAATTCCGAAATTGGGAAATATTATTAGTAGCGAATATATTTGTCAAGTTTTCTTTCATTGATTGGTTCCTCTGAATGAACTTTCTCATCCACAGCTGTTTCCATTACTTTGGTTTTCCCTGAGGTCTTCACTGTTGTATCCGCCAACGGAATGCCCTTCGTCTCCGGGGTCAACAGTGACAGTATGGCGCACGCGAACATCAGGGAGCCCACGATGACAAACGGCAGCAGAAGATCATCACCTCCCTGAAAAAGACGGGTTTCTTTTTCAGTTCCAACATATCACGTTAACCGTCATTATTGGCATTACTCAGGCACGTGTTCCCAGTAGCCGTGTTTTCAGTGCCTCAGATTTGGATATCTCAGTTTTCGTAACTTTGCCATTTTTGTTTGAGTTTTGAAAGATATACGTCTACGACACAACAGTCTTTTATTAAGCTGATTAGATGAGGTGAAATGGGTTTTTTTACGTCGCGTCCAAGATTATTGCACTTATATGTGTTTGTGTATGTGTCACTGCTCGTATTAGTTCGGACTGATGCCGACTTTATTGTTATGTGCCGCAGTTTAACATAAATACCCCACTAACACACAGTATATTGACTCCGAGCCGACCAGTCCTTGTTTTAGCCCCTAAATGCCGAGCAGCATCTTTTAACGTCTTTTGGTATCACGCGCCCGGGATCGAACCCGGGACCTTCCACTCCTCGGGCGGACGCTCTACCACTAGACCACGGAGGCGGTCAATTAACCTGATTAGAGTTACAAAATATATATGTACATGATTTTTTTATAGATGCCATCGAAGAACTTCCTATAGATATTTTTAAACTCAATAAATGTGGATTGACGGGAAGTGGTTTTATTGCAAGTCTCCTCGTGGAGATGTCCTGACCTCAGTCACGTGGTCCCTGTCACGTGAAAACAGCAATCTGTGCGATTTGTATCCATTTGTAAATATCCCCATAACATAGAAATTCAATAATCTATGACATTACCGACATCATAAATGGTTGCATTGCTTGCTAATTCACAAAGAACAGAATCATGAACATACAGGTAGATGTATTGTCAAATGTTCCTTTTATTTTCTAGCTATAGTTACGAATGTGTACATTTCCGTTGTATGGGACAAGGGTAATTGGTTTAAATGTTTTAGTGCTATCCAATTAATACACCATCTAAATGTACAGTAAACTACTGTTATAATTGATTGAGTGAGTGAGTTGGGTTTAACGCCGCTTTTAAAGTACCAGTTATGTGGCGGCGTGTCAACTTAATGTGGGAGGAAAGCCCGAAGTGATGTAGGTCTCAGACGTTTACCACTTGGGTGAACCCACGAGCACGGGTATGGTGCTGACAAACCTAGAAACACAATCGGGGCGAAGAGGGATTCGATCCCACAATCATAGGCTTCTGGCGTGTTCAAGGGACGCAACTCTGCACAGCGAATCGCGGCGCCTTAGACGACTGGGCTACCCATGCCCCGGTAGTTCGTTATAAACATATCTACAGCGCATATACAACAAATGGACGGGACCAACAATATACAGTTCGTCATATACGTCAGTTCGATATAAGCGTGTTCGTTATAACCCCAGTTTACTGTATTATCATGGTGATGAAATAAACATTGTGGGTTTTCATATTGGTTGGTGCTATGGTTATTTGATGTCTGGAATTTTCAAATTTCAAATGTTAAAACCTCCGATTTATAAGCGTTAACTTGATGTCACTCTGGAATGCATTGACGGTTCAGAACATTGGATGACGAAAAATGCTTCTGAGCATCTACTCTGTAACGAAACGGGGCGGTTGGGTAGCCTAGTGGGTAAAGCGTTCGCTCGTCACGCCGAAGACCCGGGTTCGATTCTGGTTCCGTGATATTGCTGGAATATTGCTAAAAACGGCGTAAAACCATACTCACTCACTCACTCACTCACTGTAACGAAACCTATCTGGTTAGCGGACAAAATCAACACAATTGTTGTTCTTATAAATATTGAAATATTGATATATTTTCGATTGAGAAAACAGTGTACTTTTGAAGAAAGTATTTAAATCCAGTGAAAAGCAAGAAGTCTTTCTAACGGTTTCTAAACTCTTTACAGCATGTAATAACTTTCTTCAAACAATCAGGCTCCCATTCCATTTGAGCAAATGAAGCAAAGGTGTCGTGTATGTATTTATAAGGAGAGGATCCCAGACACTTTGAAACGTTTACATATGACACGAAAACTATACCCATATTGTTATTAGCTTTACCCTATCTGGGTTGATAAATAGGCGAGCTCAGATGGAGTTCTCATAAACATTCCATAACGTAAACGATCAATTGGAACCAATGGTAACAGAAGCATTTGTTAAACTTGTAAATTCTTCAAGTGTCATTTTCTGTCATTTGTGCCAAAGTAGCAGTATAATCCCTGTCAGAAATATTTTGAAAGTATCTTCGATGTACATTCCAACTTGTTCATTTGTCCGTCAAGAAATATCAGGAAAACATGAACCTCTCTGGCATTCTGATGTAAAATATGAGGTGAGGTGAAATTGGGCTTAACGTCGCGTCCAAGATTATTGCACTTATATAGCGACGTGCATGTACGTGTGTGTGTTTGTGTGGCTGCTTGTACTAAACCGGACTGATGCCGATTTATAGTGCTAGCTCACTGAGATACCATGCCGCAGTTTAACATGAATACCCCACTCAGACACAGTATACTGACTCCGGGCCGACCAGTCCTTGTTTTAGTCCAGTAATGCCTAGCGCCAGACAGGGCAACAACAAGTACCATCTTTAACGTCTTTTGGTATGACGCGACCGGGGATCGAACCCCAGACCTTCCGGTCTCCGGGCGGACGCTCTACCACTAGACCACGGAGGCGGTCTGTAAAATATGAAATTAACCAAATCGTCTCAGTGGAAGTAGATAGAATCGTTGTCTTTCATCACACCCATGCCATGTACGTGTTCATATGGACAAAATGGTGAAATGTGACTCACCACAGCAAATACATAGGGCGACACGATACCCCCAACACGAGCAGCAGTGTTGGCTGCGCCATAGCCCAAGTTTCTGGAAGAGTGAACGCGAAGGAGTACAACGTTAATATAGATGTAAGAAAGTAAGCTTTAATACAAACAAACCTACGATAAACGTGCAGGTAGTATTTCAGAGACAATAACTATTTAATCCTTTCATTGTGGCGATATGTTATGGTAAAGCTTATTTCTAGTATCAGTCCTTATAAATGATATTCTTTTCGTTTTTAATTCCGCTAAATATAACAGAGGCTTGGGAAAGATTACATGTATATTTATTTGATTGTCCATGGCATCAAGACTTCACAAACAAGAAACGTATTGGCTGGATTCTGTCCGACATTACGACTGACTTTCTCCAACAACATAGCTTATCAAGTTCATGGCTGACGTATACAAATGTACGTATACTCAAATTGTATATAATATTACGTATACTCGTAAGTGTAGTTCAAACGGCACTCATGTATAACTTGTATCTCTACATTCATCGAGATATAATTGTACCACACTTCATCCAACGTATACTCAAACTATATATATTCTACTTGGTTGTTGTGTTGTTGTCACTGTAAGAAGCCGAATGTTTCTGCAGATCCAGCGAACAATGTACTGAGTGGGGTAAAACCTGAGGCATTAATAGCGATGCATGTATTCCTGTTTATGGCTTCCTTCACTCCATGGTGCAGCTGGAAGTCTATACCTGATAACGGTGGGGTAGGACTCACTGGTGAACACCAGGAAGCACGACCAGGCTGAGGCGACTCCAAGTCTACAGATAAGCGCCAGTGTTACGATTGCCGCTCCCCGGATACTTTCCGAGGCAACTGCAAGATATAATATTTATAGCGGTATCGGGATATGAAGATGCAGGTGCGAGAAAACACAGAAATATAAAACTGCCAGAGACCTCTGTCTTAAGAGTTCGATTTCGTGCAAACGGACCATTTCATTTTCCACCCAAGGTCCAGAAATCCACGGCCCAGGCACCTGTGCTAATCTCGAGGTACGTGTAGTTCACACGACACTCATGTATAACAAACGGCACTCATGTATAACTTGTATCTCTACATTTATCGAGATATAATTGTACCACACTTCATCAAACGCCTTAGGTCCAAATACATGTCGATGACATAAGATCACAGAACATCCATGTTTATTCATCAATTGTCTCAACAAAGTTAATACATTATTGCAATGTTAACTGAATGCAAAAATATTAAAAATGAAACTAATTAAAGCTAGATAAATTTAATTACATACGGCGTGCACCCAGATATATAACCATTAAGCCTCATTGGACACAGCAATAACATCAGATGACATGTTATATGTATCTGAGCACAAGAGATGCATTGTCACTGTTGTGGTGTCATCAAAACTCGTAACTTACATTTCTTCAATAATTGAAATGTGTGTTATCTACGGTTAACTATGTACTTAACAATACATGTCAAATACATACCACATCTTGATACAATAGCGACTCCAAACGCTCCAGACGTGGCCAATACGAAGAACGAGAATCCTGTCCATCGACGTCCAATTCTAAAATGATCAGATTCACAAGGATTTTTCAACAAAAGGGGTAAATTTTTCATGTAAAATAAATTCATAGCATTGGTCACTTGACACACTATCTACAAAGACAAGCAAAGCAAGATATGTTCTTGGCATCTGAGGCCCCATGGCCAAAAGTACAAGGTGTTTTGCTCTTGGTCAGGTGGGACAATTATTATACAGTATGACACTAGAAATATCTAAATATATCCTAAACAGGCAAATTTCGTTTTAGGTATCTTTTTATGACTATAAAAATTGCTATGATGGTATTCTGTATATATTATTATTATTGTATGTTATTAACCTGTTGTAGGTATTGCAACACACAACATTTCAATTGTAGGTCTTCTTTAACATGTTTTGAGTATTATATAAAGAATTCCAACCTGTTGTTCATGAAAAATGCCAGTACGTTGCTTGGCACAGAAACAATGGAGACAAGGAACATGTTGAGGTAGAGGTTCCCGGTCAAGCGTCCTACCCCGAAGGAGATGCCATAGTACGTGAAGGACATGGTCATCCTGGGTCAACAATGCACTTTGGTATGGCAAGATTGTGGTATCGGCTTGTTTCTTGGTTTGTTTGTTGTTTTACGCCGCACTCAGCAATATTACAGCTCTATGACGGCGGTCTGTAAATAATGGAGTCTGGACCAGACAATCCAGCGATTGACATCATGAGCATCGATCCACGCAATTTGGATCGATGACATCAACCAAGTCAGCGAGCCTGACCACCAGATCCCGTTAGTCGCCTCTTACGACAAGCATAGTTGCCTTTTACGGCAAGCATAGGTTGGCGGCTTGTATGGATGAAACATGTGAATTATATATTTCTAAAAATAACAATAATCATGATTGATCATTAGGATGTGTATACCATTTAAAAACCTGGAACACATATCTATGAATATATATTCATTTGAGAAGGTCTAACAGGAATAAGATATGAGTGTGTTCGTGCGTTTGTTCATTAGCCTATTATGAAGGGCACTTGTCATGTTGAAACCATTGGATTTGACGGTGACCTCAAATATGAAATGTCATTTTCTTAACTAGGCACGATAACGTTTACACTTAGACAGTGTTTTGGAGCGTTGAGTACACGTGTCGTTATAGATCAACTTACCACACAAGTTTGTTTTTTTTATAAACGTTTTTATTGTTCACTTACCACACAAGTTGGTGGACCACAGATACACGGCAAATACTCCAGCCACGGTAAATGTCCAAATAGTTGTATTTCCGATTCGAATCTCTGGCACTGTTTTCTTCTTCGTACAGTTTCTTCAGTAGAATGGCAGTGTTGGCTGGCTTCTCTCTGTTGTTGTAGCGGGCCATCTGATCCACCACCTTCTCCGCCTCCTCCAGCTTACCATGAACTGCCAGCCACCGCAAACTTTCTGGCACAAACCTAAGGACAATGCATTTAGGTTCTTAAAATATATTGCAGTTTACAAATGCACATACTGTACATTATCATAAAGGCACTGGCGTCTTAAATTAACAAAATGTATAATAATGTTTGTTGGTTTACCATGGTATGAAATCACCCAGAACTAAACAAAACAAAATTATTCACCAAATCTTTTATTTTTTTAAATTTCAAAAAGTCACATTGATTACGACAGAACTTTTGTGCGTTTTATTATGACGATCGTGGTTTATCTTTAAAAAAATTGTGTGGAACGAAGTAAATTTACATGTATCCAAAAAAAAATGGGATGTGCAGGGCTGCCAGAATGATGTGTAGATTCGACCAGTTTGGACGCAACCAACATGACAAGGCCAGTAGAGCAGATCCACCAGCCCAGAAGGGAAGGGAGATGGACACCGGGCGCCAACGTGTTCCTATAAACTCCATGGTGTAGGGGAAGCATACCACCAGCACAGCACCAACCATCAACCCAATGAAAAATCTGCAACATTTACGTTTCAGTCATGCAACCATTCAAGAGTACAATGTTCTTCTATCCGTATATAGTTACCAAATATTCAAAGGAAGTTCTGATAAAAATAATGAAGTCGTTTTGTCTAGAAAAAGAAAAGTTGTGTTCGAGTAATTTACATCAGTTAGGGATCGTGTTTAATGTAGCGGTTGTTCACTGTTGACTGACGTGAAAGAAGACCGTCGTCGTTCTGGATCCCAAAATAGTTCTGGAAGCTGGCAGGAATTCGGCCTTTCCAAATATGTATCACAACCGCACTTGGGAAGTAAGTTAGAAACAATTCAGGTCGAAAGGGCCTCGAATCACCCTCTTGTGGCTTCTAAATAGGCACAGCCAACCTAGTAGAAAGTGCTCGTGTTTGTTACTGGTACCACCAGTGGTCAGAATACGCACATCTTTTCGCGAGCACCTGGTATCATCACTATTTGATAGTGATTCATCAACACATACTTATGATAGAGTAGGAATCGTACAGTGGTCGCTGCTTTTAGCAGAGGTTTCTTATGATTACGGAAATGTTTTTGTCACTTTTATTTATATGACAAGGGAGTACGGTTTCATTATTTTTGTCAGAACATAAGATCTCCGTGAAGAGTAGCACCATTTTACAAACTTAGCTCAATGACTGGATGAATTATCTTCGAAGGAAAGCATTTCTATTTCCCCTTAAGAATGGATGAATATACACTGCTTATCAGAATGTTAATTATTTCATTTTAGTTGCATGTGAATTGTATTATCACCTGATCACGATGAACATCTCCCATGAGATTGAAAACGCTGCTACCAAGTTGAATCCTGCATGCAGGAACAGTGAGATGTACAAAGTCTTCTTTCTCCCGATGACATCAGCGGACTGGCCACTGAGTAACGCCCCTATCAGCACCCCTGCCATCTGTATTGCTGTAATTAATGGCTTGATCCCTTTCATATCACACAGCAGATTCCACTGGCGAGACAAAAAAACACGAAATAATGTTCAAGATAATACAAGAAAGCTCGATTCTTTTACATGTAACTCCATGGGATTAGAAGAGGTGACGAAATAGCCCAGTGGCTAAAGCGTTCGCTCGTTACACCGAAAGCCCGGGTTCGATTCCCCACACGGGTACAATATGTGAAGTCATTTACTAGTGTCCCTGCCGTTGAATTACTGGAATATTGCTGAAAGCGATGTAAAACCCAACTCACTCACTCTGGGTTAGAAATTCGAATACGTTACCAGTTACCTATGCTAATTGTGTGAGAGGCAACTAAACGGATCGGGTGGTCATTTTCTTCGTTCCCCACAATTGTTTTCGTTCCTGTTCTGACTCGATTATTTAGACGAAGTTATAATGTTACGTTGCATCTGCTGTATATCAGTCATACAGTGACAACCAACAATGTATTAAACAAATCATTTCATATAAAAGGTGCGGGAGCCTGTTATATATATATATACCTATGTTTCAGTTTTCATATTGTTATATGACAGTGTAATTTATTGTAAAGCTATGACTGATTGTATTGCATTGTTTTTGTTGAGATTCGGTAGAAGTTCATTGCATTGTGTTTGGACAAGTTGTCAGGAATATAGTACTATTTAATGTAAGCGGTAGTGAGGAAGATACTATATGTAGATGCTAGTGTGATGTGTAAACTTCTGGTGGTGTGGATCGTCAGATAATGTTCTGAGAGGTGTTTAGGCTATATTAGTGAACGAGTGCGTGCCTCTTGCATCTCACATTTCATCTGACATTACATCAAGACCAGCTTTCGTGTGGAGATCACTTACCCCGGCTTCCCAGCCTATGCCTGTCTCGGAAGCCTGACCACTATTGTGGATAGGTGAATATTATTATCACTAAACTTTTGTATATCACCACTGCCATCATATTTTGTATTTGATACTCCCATTGAACATTGTAGCACCACTCTATTGCATACTCCCATTGTACATTGTACCACCACTCTATTGCATACTCCCATTGTACATTGTACCACCACTCTATTGCATACTCCCATTGTACATTGTAGCACCACTCTATTGCATACTCCCATTGAACATTGTACCACCACTCTATTGCATACTCCCATTGTACATTGTACCACCACTCTATTGCATACTCCCATTGTACATTGTAGCACCACTCTATTGCATACTCCCATTGTACATTGTACCACCACTCTATTGTATACTCCCATTGAACACCCATTGTACATTGTACCACCACTCTTTTGCATACTCCCATTGTACATTGTACCACCACTCTATTGCATACTCCCATTGTACATTGTAGCACCACTCTATTGCATACTGCCATTGTACATTGTACCACCACTCTATTGCATACTGCCATTGTACATTGTACCACCACTCTATTGCATACTGCCATCGTACATTGTAGCACCACTCTATTGCATACTGCCATTGTACATTGTAGCACCACTCTATTGCATACTGCCATTGTTCATTGTACCACCACTCTATTGCATACTGCCATCGTACATTGTACCACCACTCTATTGCATACTGCCATTGTACATTGTAGCACCACTCTATTGCATACTGCCATTGTTCATTGTAGCACCACTCTATTGCATACTGCCATCGTACATTGTACTACCACTCTATTGCATACTGCCATTGTACATTGTAGCACCACTCTATTGCATACTGCCATTGTACATTGTACCACCACTCTATTGCATACTCCCATTGTACATTGTACCACCACTCTATTGCATACTGCCATTGTACATTGTACCACCACTCTATTGCATACTCCCATTGAACATTGTACCACCACTCTATTGCATACTGCCATTATACATTGTAGCACCACTCTATTGCATACTGCCATTGTACATTGTAGCACCACTCTATTGCATACTGCAATTATAATTGCTGTGCAGTAATTTGCATTGATTTGTAAACCTAGTTAAAAGTGTAGTACATGAATTGTTGAGTGTATACCATTTGTTGGTTGGTTGTTGGTTTCACACTAAGTTCTTTTATGTACAGATTTCTGGGTTAACATGTTGTTTCAAACTGGAAATCGACACATAACAATATCATACCAAAATGTATGTATCTCGAACAAAAGTGAGTTAGTTACTTTGGTTCGTGGCCGCTTAGCATGCTGTTTCAGTAATATCACGGCGTGTCATCTTGATACTGGAGAAAAGCAGTAAATGATGAGTAACGGGTCTGGTGCTGACAAACCTACAAATATACTCAACAACAAAAGTTCCCGTGACACCAATATTTAAGTGTAATTTTCAAACAAGTAAAGTTTGGTTTTCAATATTGTAGTACATGTATGGAGTCAAGTCACAAAAACGCAACTGCTACAGAAAAGCATGCATTCCATGCAAAAGTTGACTTTGATGCAAGCCCCATGCATTTCACTATCCAAGAATGGGTATAAAAAATATATGCGTTAACGGGATTCCATATGCATTGTTAAGCATCGTGCTGACATCAACCACTCAGAAAAACAACAACATTATTCACCATTACGAAGTGCCACGCCTGTCCGAAAATGAGCGTCTGCGAGCCATTGGTATGCTTGAGTGAGCGAGTGAGTGAGTGAGTTGGGTTTAACGCCGCTTTTAACAGTATTCCAGTTATACCACGGCGTGTCAGCTTAATGTGGGAGGAAAGCTTGAAGTGATGCAGGTCACCTAGAAACATAATCGGGGCGAACCGGGATTCGAACCCACAATCATAGGTTTCTGGCGTGCCCAAGGGACGCAACTCTGCACAGCGAATCGCGGCGCCTTAGACGTCTGGGCCACCCGTGCCCCCCTGGTATGCTTGAAGCAGGATCGAATCAACGTGCTGTTGCAAGACAATGTAACGTCCACAGAAACACCATTTGGTGTTTATGGCAACGTTGGCAACAGAAGAATGCATTCAATGACCATCCTCGGAGTGGCACGCCACGCGTAACCAATAATCGACAAGACAACTGGATTCGAACAACACACCTACGAAATCGATTCCAGCCAGCAACAGTGACTGCAAGAAGCATCCCTGGCCTTCGACGAATATCTTCACAAACCGTACGCCGTCACCTCAGATGTGCAGGGATTGTCGCCAGAAGACCCGCCAGACGTCCCATTTTGACAGGAAACCACCGCCAAGCACGTCTACAGTGGTGCAGACAACGTCTACGCTGGACGGCCACGCAGTGGGGACAAGTTCTATTCACTGACGAGTCTCGTTTTCACCTCAGCAACAGCGATGGACGGATTCGAGTGTACCGACGTCGAGGTGAATGTTACGTCAATCGGGGGTCATGGAAGAAGATCGGTTCGGGGGCGGCAGCGTTATGGTATGGGGTGCGATTACAGCAAGACGGAGGACCCGTTTGATGGTGGTAGAGGGAAATCTCAATGGACAGCGCTACCGCGATGAGATCATCGGCCCTGTTGTTCTACCGTTTTTGCGTCGTCATGGCCCAGGCAATACCTTTCAATATGACAACGCCCGGCCTCATATTGCTCGACTTGTTCAGGATTCTCTTCAACAAAACAACGTGAATGTCATGCCCTGGCCGGCTCGCTGCCCTGATCTCTCACCACTCGAGCACATGTGGGATGAGATGGATCGGCGCCTTCGACGTCAACCACGTGTTCCACATACACTCCAGGAACTTCGAAACATGCCCCAGAAGATATGGACAGAATCCCACAGGACTTTGTGCGACGCCTGGTCCATTCCGTGACACGAAGAACATAACTTCGCATTAAATCACAGGAACTTTTGTTGTTCAGTATATAATCAGGGATTGGAACCCGCGATCACAGGTAACAGATGCGCCAGAGGGATATAAACTCTTGGGTATCCCTGACAACTGGGCCATCCTTGCACCCCTGATACTCCACAATATTACTGAGAGGGCGAACCGGGATTCGAACTCGAGATCATAAGAGGCGTTTCTCCTCACAGCGAATTGCGACACCTTAGACGACTTGGCAACACTTGCTGACAAAACAGATAAGCCTGTCAAGTTAAACTAATTAAGAACTATTAACATAGCTAGTTGTTAAAGGCTTTGGTCACTAGCTGATGACCAGGGTTTGGTTCCCCACACGGAAACAATGTATGAAACCAATCGTGCCCATGTCGTGTTTTGCTGAAATTTTGCTTCAAGACTAAACTAACTCACTTACCTCATTGATGACCGTGTCCTTCTCCTGGCTGTACACAAAGGTGCAGGTGGTGTCGTTGTCTGATGCCGGACATTCCTTAAGGCCAGTGTAGTTGCTGATGCTGACGTTCACAGTAACATCACTGTCGACGTCCCTGCACCACCATTGTTCAGGCGAAACCCCTGCGAACGACATCATCAACATTCCCCATGCTATGATAGTCTTAACACCGAGGACGAAACCAAGGATCATGATCTGGAACCGGGACATTCCCCCAACACCGTCTATTATCTTATCACTGTACATCTTTGTGTCTGTTCAGGGATCTGGAAATACAGGTTAGGGAACAACGCCATAGTGCCTTTGTTGTTTAAGCTGTCCCTGTTCCACGTGCTCTTTGCAAGTTCAAGGTTTATTTGTTGTTTAACGCCGCACTCAGCAATATTACAGCTATATGACGGCGGTCTGTAAATAATCGAGACTGGACCAGACAATCCAGTGATTGACATCATGAGCATCAATCCACGCTATTGGTATACATTGACATGCATCAACCAAGTCAGCGAGCCAGACCCCCCGATCCACTTACGACAAGCATTGTCGCCTTCCTGTGCAAGTGGCAGAGTAGTTGTATCATGTATTTGCACAAATGTGATATTTCTGTTGCACACAATAAATTATTTACACAATATTTAAAGATCATAAAGAGACATATACGTCATTCACACACATATGATAAATAATTTACACACATATGATAATATATAAGATAGCTATGCAATAAATCGCAAAGAACAATGAAGAACGAAGCGTGGTTTAATTAACGATAAAACATTGTTCAATTCTGGAGATTCCAACATTCGCTCGCAACGTGATGACGTCATATACTGGATGTCGTTATTTTTCAGAGGGGAGTGAGTTGTTCCCCATAGATGTAGCTTGGCAACACACATAGCATCATCTATCATTTACACACATATCATCTATCATTTACATTCATATCATCTATCATTTACACACATATCATCTATCATTTACACACATATCATCTATCATTTACATTCATATCATCTATCATTTACACACATGTCATCTATCATTTACACACATATCATCTATCATTTACACACATATCATCTATCATTTACACACATATCATCTATCATTTACGCACATATCATCTATCATTTACACACATATCATCTATCATTTACACACATATCATCTATCATTTACACACATGTCATCTATCATTTACACACATATCATCTATCATTTACACACATATCATCTATCATTTACACACATATCATCTATCATTAACACACATATCATCTATCATTTACACACATATCATCTATCATTTACACACATATCATCTATCATTTACACACATATCATCTATCATTTACGCACATATCATCTATCATTTACACACATGTCATCTATCATTTACACACATATCATCTATCATTTACACACATGTCATCTATCATTTACACACATATCATCTATCATTTACACACATATCATCTATCATTTACACACATATCATCTATCATTTACACACATATCATCTATCATTTACGCACATATCATCTATCATTAACACATATATCATCTATCATTTACACACATATCATCTATCATTTACACACATATCATCTATCATTTACACACATATCATCTATCATTTACACACATATCATCTATCATTTACACACATATCATCTATCATTTACACACATGTCATCTATCATTTACACACATGTCATCTATCATTTACACACATGTCATCTATCATTTACACACATGTCATCTATCATTTACGCACATGTCATCTATCATTTACACACATGTCATCTATCATTTACACACATATCATCTATCATTTACACACATATCATCTATCATTTCACACATATCATCTATCATTTACACACATGTCATCTATCATTTACACACATGTCATCTATCATTTACCCACATATCATCTATCATTTACGCACATGTCATCTATCATTTACACACATGTCATCTATCATTTACACACATATCATCTATCATTTACACACATATCATCTATCATTTCACACATATCATCTATCATTTACACACATGTCATCTATCATTTACACACATATCATCTATCATTTACACACATATCATCTATCATTTACACACATATCATCTATCATTTACACACATGTCATCTATCATTTACACACATGTCATCTATCATTTACACACATACCATCTATCATTTACACACATATCATCTATCATTTACACACATATCATCTTTCATTTACGCACATATCATCTATCATTAACACACATATCATCTATCATTTACGCACATGTCATCTATCATTTACACACATATCATCTATCATTTACGCACATATCATCTATCATTTACACACATATCATCTATCATTTACACACATATCATCTATCATTTACACACATATCATCTATCATTTACACACATGTCATCTATCATTTACACACATATCATCTATCATTTACACACATATCATCTATCATTTACACACATATCATCTATCATTTAAACACATATCATCTATCATTTACACACATATCATCTATCATTTACACACATATCATCTATCATTTACACACATATCATCTATCATTTACACACATATCATCTATCATTAACACACATATCATCTATCATTTACACACATGTCATCTATCATTTACACACATGTCATCTATCATTTACACACATATCATCTATCATTTACACACATATCATCTATCATTTACACACATGTCATCTATCATTTACACACATATCATCTATCATTTACACACATATCATCTATCATTTACACACATATCATCTATCATTTACACACATATCATCTATCATTTACACACATATCATCTATCATTTACACACATATCATCTATCATTTACACACATATCATCTATCATTTACACACATGTCATCTATCATTTACACACATGTCATCTATCATTTACACACATATCATCTATCATTTACACACATATCATCTATCATTTACACACATATCATCTATCATTTACACACATATCATCTATCATTTACACACATATCATCTATCATTTACACACTAGTCATCTATCATTTACACACATATCATCTATCATTTACACACATGTCATCTATCATTTACACACATATCATCTATCATTTACACACATATCATCTATCATTTACACACATATCATCTATCATTTACACACATATCATCTATCATTTACACACATATCATCTATCATTTACACACATATCATCTATCATTTACACACATATCATCTATCATTTACACACATATCATCTATCATTTACACACATATCATCTATCATTTACACACATATCATCTATCATTTACACACATGTCATCTATCATTTACACACATATCATCTATCATTTACACACATGTCATCTATCATTTACACACATATCATCTATCATTTACACACATATCATCTATCATTTACACACATGTCATCAATCATTTACACACATATCATCTATCATTTACACACATGTCATCTATCATTTACACACATATCATCTATCATTTACACACATATCATCTATCATTTACATTCATATCATCTATCATTTACACACATATCATCTATCATTTACATTCATATCATCTATCATTTACACACTTATCATCTATCATTTACACACATATCATCTATCATTTACACACATATCATCTATCATTTACACACTAGTCATCTATCATTTACACACATATCATCTATCATTTACACACATATCATCTATCATTTACACACATATCATCTATCATTTACACACATATCATCTATCATTTACACACATATCATCTATCATTTACACACATATCATCTATCATTTACACACATATCATCTATCATTTACACACGTCATCTATCATTTACACACATGTCATCTATCATTTACATTCATATCATCTATCATTTACACACATATCATCTATCATTTACACACATATCATCTATCATTTACACACATGTCATCTATCATTAACACACATATCATCTATCATTTACACACATATCATCTATCATTTACACACATGTCATCTATCATTTACACACATATCATCTATCATTTACACACATATCATCTATCATTTACACACATATCATCTATCATTTACACACATCATCTATCATTTACACACATATCATCTATCATTTACACACATATCATCTATCATTTACGCACATATCATCTATCATTTACACACATATCATCTATCATTTACACACATATCATCTATCATTTACACACATGTCATCTATCATTTACACACATGTCATCTATCATTTACACACTTATCATCTATCATTTACACACATGTATCATATACACAATGAATATTTACAAGAATGTAATACAGGATTTACACAAAAATAAAACTAATTTACACACAATGGTTAATAGGTTACATACATGTAAACATATAATACACCATTTTCATACATTATCATTTATACTCAAATAATCCTGCAATAAACTCATTCTCACGATTCTCGGAATCATACAATGGAATCGTTTTGACAGAGATTTTTTATTAACATGGAAAGGTTTTATTTTATTTTGTTTATTAAATTTGAAGGCATACAGACAGACAGACAGACAGATTCACCGGTAATGTGGGCCATATGGCCTATATTACAATGTCAGTACAATATAAATCTAGTCACGTTTTTCTAAATTTAAATATCTTATACAGGTATACAGAAGTCAGTTTTATTACATTGACATTTTTGCAGTTAAGAATATTTGGAAGTGACAGGTAACTGTCATACATATCCTGTAGTTGGGTAATATAATGTTTCGAAGGCCATACTATGTGTGCGGACGTCGTAAGTTTGACGCTTTTCTCAGCCGCTATGATGCTTCCGCGTATAACAATACGTCCCGAATAGAACAATGCACTCGTTTTATTTCAGTATCAGGTTTATCCCCTCGTGAAGTAAGAGTAACTTCACCAGCGATGGATATACTTGAGGCGATGAACGGAAGCCAAACTATTTACTTACAATGTACCTTCAAAACGTGTAAGTCTATCTGCAAAATGTTCTTTTCCATGTGTTGACGCATCAAAAGAACGAGCACATCTTTATCCTTACAAACAGTACGTGACCCCAGGCAGTGTTTGGACGATTAATTGTGAGAACGACGGTTACGAGCAAGGTCAGATAACTGCATATGCTGTGTCGTATAACGCCGGGGGCCTCCCGCTCATTGCCATGCGTCTCCCCATTTGGTGGCACACATGGAATAGAATAGGAGTGTGACGAAAACAAATGCATCGTGTTGACGTCAACACACATTGAGACAGACGTTAACCTGTCACATTCACCTTCCCACATTCCCAAACAACATGACGTGATGTAACATGGGGTGTAACGTCGCGTCTAAGATAAAATGTTCTCATATAGTGGCGTGCATATGTGCGTGCGTGCGTGCGTGCATGCGTGTGTGCGTGCGTTTTAGTAACGTTGTACCCATGTCACAGTTGAATGATCAACCTACACAGATCACATCCGCACGACGCCTCCTCGTGCCCAAAACCAGACCCCTGATTCCCAACTGAGGAACGTGTTGCCATTCCTGATGCAATGCCAAGGTCAATTCTAAGCGATTCTGTATTGGAGAGTCCCTGGCTCTAACCCTACGTCCCAACTGATCCCATAAATGTATCGAGAAGGCCAAGGCAGAGTTTTAGTGGCTTGGTTCTGGATGCGGTCAGTGACAGCTCTGTTCGGTGGGGTTGGGCATTGCCGTCCATTAAGACAGGACGTGTGGCAAGTGCACTGTGCAGAAAAAGAGGGGCAATACAAACCGTCCAATATAGTATCGTGGTACCTTTGTCCATTTAATGTCTCCTGAACTGTTACCAAATCAAGTTTACAATCAAAGGAGCAACATCCCCATACCATCACTGAGCCGCCACCACAACCCACTGTTTCGTGGACGTTGCGCTGATCATAAGATGTTCCCCTTTACCTCCAGACACGAGTCCTACCATCAGTGTTGTGCAATAAACACGACTCCCGTCAGAACAATGAATCCTCCTCAATGACCTCGAGTTCCAGTATGCTTCAGCCTGCTCCAGGCTAAACGGTCCCGCATGTGTTGAGGTGAGAGGAATGGACGTCTTATTGGTCTTCTGGCCCTTGATCCTGCTGCCTTCAGTCAACGTCTAATGGTGCTACGGGCCACTCTGTTGTGGGTATGCATGCGATGACGAAGAACATTGCAAGTTGAAGTTGGCAGCCATTTAGCTTGACGTACACGGACCCAGTCCTCTCTGGCACTGGTCTCCCGTGGTCGTCCTGATCTCTGCAAGTCCCGCACATGTCCCACATATACAGGCAATGTGTGTCTTCTAAAGCGTCTACTTATGACAGCATGGTAAATCTTCAACACGGTGGCAATAGCCCGACATGACAGTTTGGTGCATGCCTATGATTTGCAATCTTTCATTTTCTGGAATAGTATGCTTAAGCATTTCAGTTACAATCGTTCCCAAGAATGACTTTCAAATTGGTAGAATTATCATTCAGAACAAATAGCAGTAAAGACGCATGAACTTTCTGTCATCAAAGATGAATTTCTCTATAGAAACCCCTTAGGTGTGCATACGGTTCGAATAAACGCACCCACAAGGTGGGGCAGTTAAAGAGGCTACCATTCTACAGGATGATGATGTGTTAAAACACAGTGTACCATTTGGAAATCTCAATACAGTAAATGAACACGCAATTACATTTCAAATTTGGTGTTGCGATACTTTTGACGAGGTATATATATAAAAATAATGTAGAAAATTGGCTAGAACTTTTATAATGTCATTTTTACTTTTCTAGATAAAAAACTCAAGACAAGGTGAGGTGAGGTGAGGTGAAATTGGGCTTAACGTCGCGTCCAAGATTATTGCACTTATATAGCGACGTGCATGCACGTGTGTGTGTGGCTGCTTGTACTAGTCCGGACTGATGCCGATTTATAGTGCTAGCACACTGAGATACCATGCCGCAGTTTAACATGAATAACCCACTCAGACACAGTATACTGACTCCGAGCCGACCAGTTCTTGTTTTAGCCCTTTAATGCCGAGCGTGAGGCAGGGTAACAACAAGTACCATCTTTTAACGTCTTTTGGTATGACGCGGCCGGGGATCGAACCCCGGACATTCCGCTCTCCGGGCGGATGCTCTACCACTAGACCACGGAGGCGGTCTTCAAGATAAGGAACTGTTGATAGCGTCTGTGTATTTAACCCGGTTGGTTCAACTTAGTATGATGGGAAGCCCAGCAAGTGTGGTATGTCTCTATTTGTCGAGTCGCTGTTGTCTGCTATAAAAGTATTTGGTTATCACTTGGTCCGTGGTGGCGATTATAATGCCAGAACGGGTGAGAACTCTGATAATGTTGCTGGTGTCCTTGGGCTTGAGGAGATTCAAGTGATGTTTGAAAGTGTAGATATTGATAGACACTCTGAGATAAAGTTGTTATTCAAACAGGAAAAGTCTGCTTGATTGGTGTGCTAGACTCTAATTAGCTAGAACCCTATTTATCATGAACGGTCGGATAAAGGGTCGGATACTTAACATACGTCAGTCACCTGGGAAATAGCATCTTCCCGAGGCAAGGGAATTAACTGACTATAAAGTCCAGTTTCCACCCTTGCCGAACTAGATTGGAATTTCTGGGCTCTATCATAGCGCCACCTGTGGCTATTACGAGTTGTGTCCCTTCTATGCCCCTGCTATGGACCAATCAGATTCCAATTCTCGTATCACTTGCACTCGCTTCAAACAAAACAGCGGCGCCCAGTCAAGACGATCTGATCGGTAATCAAGATCTATATTGTGATAAAACTAGTCTTACATCGCGAAGTGCATCAAATCGCGTGAGCACCTTGATTAAAAACATGAAAAGATTTAGAAAATATCTGTTGACAACGAAATTTGCGATGGACATGTTTTGCAAACCCTGCAATCGACCGAAATCTGCATGACAGTTCACGATTCGGATTTCGATTTCGTTGCACGATTTTGATTGTATAGACTCGTTTGTCCAGCCAGAATATAACTCCATAATTGACGCCTAGTTCGGCAAGGGTGGAAACTGGGCTTTTATAGTCAGTTAACTCACTTGCTTCGGGAAGATGGGGAAATAGTGTCAAAGATTATGTTTTATGTTCACCTGGTATATTTACACTGTGTGGTTGTTTTGACATTGACAGAGGTGACTCAGATCACCGACCCGTAGTGTGTTCATTTCAGTCTACCAAGGCGGCACGAGCAAGATAGAGCTGCACGAGATTGTGAAGCTGATTTTCATTTCATCGTGACGACACCTAGGCCAAGCTGTTCGGGGAAACTTCACATTCAGTCAACAGAATTAGTTTGTTTCAAAAAGGTTTAGAGCTATTTTTGTTTTGTTTTATTTTTAACGCCACACTCAGCAATATTACAGCTGGCGATCTGTAAGTAATCGAGTCTGGACCAGACAATCCAGTGATTGCCATCATGAGCATCGATCCACGCAATTTGGATACGATGACATGCATCAGCTAAGTCAGCGAGCCTGACCAGCCGATCCTGTTAGTCGCCTTTTACGGCAAGCATGGGTTGCTGAAGACCTATTCTACCCCGGGTCTTCACGTGTCGGTTTAAAGGTAATTATGACTGATATTAATGGCGCCATTGAATTGTTTACTGATGCCATTTGTAAAGCTGCTGGCCTTAAGAAGCTGATAACCTGTCCTGTTGACATCGATCCCAACCATGGTATGACAAGGATTGTTCTCAGAACGTGACTTCTTAAAACGTTTAAAAAATACAGAAGTGATTATTTTCTGCAAGATGATTTATCAGCTGTTGTTGAATGTTGACTTATTTCAGATGCTAAATAAAAATCATATTGATATTCCCTAATTCGAGCGAGCCACACAGTCAGTGAGCATGGTTTTACGCCGCTTTTATCAATATTCCAGCAACATCTGGGCGGAGGACACCAGAAATAGGCTTCACACATTGTACCCATTTCGGGAATCCAACCCGGGTCTTCGGCGTGACGAGCGAACGCTTTAACCACTAGGCTACCCGACCGCCCCGAGCCACACAGAAACCAAGGGTGTTTCAACTAAAATATAGGTACTGGATGTTGAACTTTAAGAATCCGTGTTTCGGAAGTGAGATACTTCCTTCTTCGTCCTCCTGTGTATTGGTACGAAACGAATTTTACTCTTTAAACTGAATTAAGTATGGAAAACCTACATTTGAAGAGGCTTGTTAGATTTAGACCCGAAACTAAGATTACATAAAAAGCAAATTCAACTAACCTGTCCCGAAAGTTCGCTGGCAACGTTCACGCGTCCCCGTCAGCCAAAAGTGTGATGGCACGTCTGGGTTTCAAAAAAGTTGTATGCAACATAACAAAGCAAACACCATTTGACACTCAGTAGTGAATATTCATGTTTATACACGGCGGACCTCGTTGACATATCCGGATGCAGTGTAAATATACACAGTACGTGCACAGTTTGAATGTGTGGATTCAACTTTGATGAGAAAATGAGTGTGATTTCAGGACGTTTTTGGTGCAGTCGTTAAAAAGTATAGTCTGGAAGGTAATTTAAGGTACCGACGTTTACTACAATATCTGAAAAACTATCAGACCTACTCCAGTCAAAGTTGGTATGAGATTATTAAACAGTCATACATAACTGGATGTAACATTTAAAGACAATCGGTGCATGAATAAAAAATCTGTCTATTTAGCTATCACTATATTTCATCAACAACCAGACCTGTTCGTCAGGGGTGGAACGAGTATTCATTGAAACAGCCATCTGCATAATGCTACCCCTGCGTCACAGGACCATATGACACAGTTGAACCAATCAACTCAACTCAAAAGGGTGCACGGGAATCACGCACGCACGAATACGGTGTTAGCGTTGGGCTGCGTGATTCCCGTGTACCCTTTCGAGTAGGACAGTAACGGAATGAGGCCACGTTGTAGTGTATCACAAGATAACCTTTATACTACAGTAAGTTTGATATAAATCAGGTTAACAGGGTCCGGGGTCATAGACCCTTTAATAAAACCTGCATATATCAACCAGGTGGTCGTTGTAGAGAGGGAATCTTAAAATGATCAAATATTTGCAAATCTAGACAAAGTAACGATCAATTAATTTACTTTAAGAGTATTTTATTCCCCCAGGCATATAATGCGGGGGGAAATAGCGATAAGCCAGTCTGTATGTCCGTCCGTCTGCCCGTCCGTAATCATTTCCTTTTCCGGGGAAGAATTCGAAAACAATTCAATGTATTTGATCGAAACTAGGCAAGGCTATCAGGCACATACTGAAGTGGTGCCTTTTGATATTTTGGGATTTTTCTAATTTTTATTTTTTACAATTTTTATAGAATGAAGTTGGACATAGACTCAATTGGGGATGGGGTTCGTTTCCGGGGCAGAATTCAAAAACCATTCAGTGTATTTGATCGAAACTAGGCAAGGCTATCAGGCACATACTGAAGTGGTGCCTTTTGATATTTTGGGATTTTTCTAATTCTTATTTTTACAATTTTTATGGAATAAAGTTGGACATAGACTCAATTGGGGATGGGCTTCGTTTCCGGGGCAGAATTCAAAAACCATTCAGTGTATTTGATCGAAACTTGGCAAGGCTATCAGGCACATACTGAAGTGGTGCCTTTTGATATTTTTCTTTTTTTACAATTTTTATGGAAAGAAATTGGACCTAAACTCCATCGGGGAACGGGTTCATTTCCGGGCCAGAATTCGAAAACCATTCAGTGGGTAAACAATGTATGCTTCTGTAATAGGCGCCCTCTGGCGGGCTGCCCAGTGACAGGATTGTAATCGGAGAGTACTAAGTTCGAACCCTGTTCATATAATTTCAGACTTTGCGTTGTGTTCTCCTGTGATCAGTCATGAACAGTGTACTCTCTCGAGGTTCTATGGTTGGTCAGGTTCTCAACTTTGCTAAAACAAAACTAAGACAAAATCATAAATTAAATGATTTATTAAACTTAAAAAAATGCACAAATTAACAGAAATCAGAAAAATACAAAAAGAAAGCACTCACACACAGGTAAACTTGTACTATTAGCCTAAATGTCTTTATTGTTAATTGCCTAATTTACTGCCTATTTTCTCCTACACCTACTTCTCCCCCACACCACTATTCCAATAAGTATACTAAATAAATACCTTACAAAACCTACATTTTAACTTATTGCTTACCCTCCAATCTATCTAAATCCTTATTTCTACATGTTTTTCCTACAACTACTTCTCCCCCACCCGACTATCACATAAACTAAACCTACTCCTAAAACTAGTCGTAAGGAAAACCTTATTGCCTAGAGGGATGTTCCCCCGTAGTGGGTGTTGTGGACTTACTTGTCGGGACACCCGAAACTTCAGACAACTAATCTCGGTCGTATCAGGCTTTTATACCCACGGTGCTAACCATATTCATAGGTCACGGGTCATACAATCTTCTAAGCTTCTCATTGGTCAAATGATAATTCCTAACATAGCGTGCTCGGCGCCACCTATCGAACCGGAAACACGCTACGGCAGGAAGACATGCGGACCTCGCAACCGTCACAGGGAATTCCAATGGAATTTTACTGCCAAACGTGAGTAATAAATAGATTAACTGACTACAAGATAACGACTTCCACCAGCCCTGCTGAAGCACTACCAAGCCCTATAATTTACAACCCGTACCGTACATAAAACTTAAACTTGCCGCCATACTACCCGATAAATTACGATCTATTTTTAGCCCAACTACCACATACCTCCCCCCTTAAGATCAAAATTACCCAATTTTGTCCCCAATATACTACTTTCCTAACACAATGCTTTCATTCTTACAGATAAATAACAGATCAACAAAAGAAAACAGCAAAAGGAAACATTGACAGCAACAGCTTCATTCCGAGTCCAGGTTGTTGATGGCTTCCAGCTCCTCTTCTTCTCGTTCTTCCCGCGATCTCCTTCTAGACGGCAACCGGTGTCTCCTACGCTGGGCAGCTTCTTTGAGTTCTTTCTGGCTGGCTGATAAACATGCTGATGGTTGTGATGAAGATGTTCCAGAAACGGAGCTCGGTGTTCCTGTCGTCTTTCGCCGTGGCAACATCACTGAGCCAGGACTCAAGAAACTGGTATTCTGTAAACGGACTGGCTGCACTTCGCCCGAAGGATGGGTCTTCAGGTGCCGTCTACAGGAACTGGATTTGTTAAACACCCTCTTACAGACACTACACTGGTGGCGGAGGATGTCCTCCTTGTGTCGGGCCAACCAGTGATCTAAATAGTCTCCATATTTCTCATAGACCCTGCTGACGCAGCCTGGAACCTTACACCGCATCCCCTCCTCTGTCCATAACGGTCGCTCGCGATCCATAAACTCTTTCCACTCCTCTGGGTTGACCTTGACTTCGAATGCATCCATCCTAAAACAAGTGGAAGATAACTTCCAAAGAATCGATGTCGCCCTACAAACATTCTTTTTATCTCTTATGGTTAAAACCAACACCCAACTTAAAAAAACAACAAATACAACATAAATTAAGAGATATACTTTATTTTGGAAATAACCAATCATAACGACGAAACTTATCAAAATCGGACACGATAATTGGAGATTTTACAAATCTCCTTGCACTACGGGGAAAACATTTTCCTTGGCTTTACAGCCCTCCCTACTCTAGTTCTAACTGGTGATGGAGATAGACTACACTCAACACCATCCCCCTCTTCCTGCACAATAGATTCATCTGTTGACTCTGGAGCAGATTCAGTAGACAAAGATAACTCTGTCCTTGGCCTATCAAAATGTAACCAATTCTGGGGTGTATCAGTACCCTGGAACGGTTTAAGATGATCCACATGCACATTGACAATACGACTACTACTGCTTTTCTGAATTTGGTAGGTTAAGTCTGAAACGTAACCAACTACAAGATAAGGACCATCCCAACCTAATCCCAACTTTTGATTTGCCTTTGGTGGATACCACCGCCAGACAAACTCCCCAATTTCAAAAGACCTAGTCTTTAAGCCCTGATCATAATTTCGTTTTTGAGCTGCAGCCGCAACTCCTAACCATTCAGAGGCAAATTGGAAGACATTCTGCATGGTTTCCTGTAACCACTTGACATAAGCAACTGAACATTGTTGAACCTGAACTCCAGGTGGATTCTCTACCATAACATCTATCGGTACCCTTATCTCACGACCTAACATCATCAGATTTGGAGAACAATGTGTGCTTTTATGTTCGCTGCAACGGTATGCCATGAGAAGATATGGAAGGTGATCATCCCAATCCAAAGGTTCTTGTTGGACATAAATGGATAGCATTTGCTTAAGCGTACGATTAAAACGTTCTATCATCCCATCAGATTGGGGTCGGTACGGTGTAGTTCTGGTCTTCTCTATTCCCAACAATGCACAGATTTCTGCAAATAGATTGGACTCAAACTCCCTTCCCTGATCGGTATGCACCTGTAAAGGACAGCCAATACGACAAAATACTTCTGAGACCAGCTTATCAGCAACAGTAATGGCAGTATGGTTTGGGATTGCAAAGGCCTCTTTCCACTTTGTGAAATAATCCCCAACAACCATAATATATTCATTGCCCTGTCGACTGATTGGTAAAGGACCCATAATATCGATGGCAATGCATTCAACGGGAGAGCGAACTTGAAACTGTCTCAATCGAGATTTGCCCTTCCCAGGGCCAGGTTTGCATCTAGCGCAAAATAGGCACGCTTTACACCACAATTTGATGTCCTTTGACATGTTTGGCCAATAAAACCGGGACTTGATAGATTGCAGTGTTTTGTCTCTACCAAAATGACCTGCTGACCTATTACTATGCAGATGTTGAAATATGTTATCCCTAACCATAGCTGGAGCAACCAACTGTACCCGGGGACCAAAGAAGTCAGATTCTATTTTGCAGTACAACAGTCCATTTTCAATCACCAGGTTATCCCACTGACCCCAAAGACATTTAGCCTCTGCAGACAAATCTACTATTTCTGCTCTGGAGGGTCTATCTGTACTCGTTTTCAGTAACTCCAAAATTGGACCTATACCCTTGTCAGCTTTCTGTCCTCCTAATAACTCATCTCTCGTCCAGATTGGTAACCAATTAGGAACACTAGCAGAGTTTTCCACAGAGGTATATGACGGGATATGCCCACCTTCTGCGGAACGATTGCACGTTGCACTAGCCGTTGCACTATCGCTAACGGAAAGTGGAGAAATTCTGGCGGAGTCCATGACCTGAGAATGGGAACCATCATTTTTAGAAATACTGTCCACCATCCCAGTGTGTAACACCTGACTAGTTTTAACTGATGACTGATGACAGTCATTTGAAAAG